GGAAGAAGATACCCTAACTAATTATTCAAGAAATCTTTCAAGTAATAATAGTTCAAGCAGTTCTCGAGGTAAGATTAGCCGTGCTAGCTCCGCTATTTCAATGTATAAATAAATATCTATCACTTTGAGAGACTTATAGTGAATTAATATTTTTGTATCGTATTAGGTTCAAGACGTACTTCGTTTTCAGATCCACTCTTCCAGGAATTTAAAACCCTTTTCGACGAGACCATGCGAGAGAAGGATTATTCTAAAGCCGATATGATTGCCGAAGTTGTAAGTGATCTTAAAAAGGAGAAGAAAATAAAGGTTATATCGAACAAAGCGGTAGAAAATTATTATAATCAAACAACGAAACCCGACACCAGGATTATAGGAGCAATCAAAGCTTGGATCGAGCTCAAGACTAAAGGAAAAAATAAATCCAAAAATAAATCAGCATCTAGCAATAATAAAATCGATGAAGTTAGTGATGAGGAAGAAATAGATTATAATAAATAGTTTGTTTTTCACCTGGTAGAGCCAAAGTATAGGGACGTATATTCATGGTCTAGGGGCCGTACGTTCTCTCCCTTGCAACTCTGCCAGTTTTCGTAAAAAAATATTAATTATTTTTGTATCTTATCGAAATATATTTCGCTTAATTAAATCATTAAAATAAAATGAATCATTTTTTAAAAATTATGACATAATATTCGTGTGCGACCTGCAAGAAAAATGTGGTATGACAATATATATAAATTGCCATTGATGTAACATTTTAACCATATTTAGTATTTTATTAATGGCAATGGACCAGACCAAAACTTGTTTGTCTCGATGGACCTGATCTATTGCCAACCCTGGCGTAAAACATCTTAAAAGGGAGTATTAGTATGGAAATTTGTCGCTTTATAGGGATTATTTCTTGCGCTATCCAGTGTATAAATTTCGGTGTGTAACTAGTGCAGATTTCTACAAATTTACAATGTCTGCTGATTTATATACAAAAAATACAATCGCAAATATGGAATTAGCATTCCGCCATAAGATCCACCCTTTTATGGAAATTCTAGATCTTTCCCCAGCATTAGGGGTTAACCTGTAATTTTACTCGTTTTAAGCTTGCGGTCATACAGTTGTGAGTTACCTGCCAACAAATTTTCAAAACCAAAAACAAGTGTCATTCGTACTTTATAAAATTCACAATTTTTGCAGTAAATTGCTTAAATCCTGATTCACGCAATTTCTGATTATTAGAACTAACCTAAATTGGTATTATCACAGTTAAAAAAAAAGATGTCCTTTGCAGGTTCCACGAACAAATCTTCTTGTCCAAACTCCATAATAAAAATGTGGGTTCTTCTCGAAGGGCAACCGAGGGCTATAAAATTGAAAGCTGATTTATCCGAGGTCGAAGACTTGGACGATTTCGCACCTATTCTCAAGAGAGAGTTCGAAGAGTTAAAAAACGTTAAAAATCAAAATATCGTATTCTTAGATAACAACAACACACTTCTTTCACCAGACACTTGTTTACAAACTCTGGCATACAATACAACAGCTAAAACGCCACTTCTTGTTCGTTACTCACTCTCAAATGCAAACAGTAAATGAGGTTTTTATTTTCTTGGTTTTGTTTTTCCCACTTAAAATATGTACTTATTAGTTTCCGTCAATTATTTGCATTGTTCAGGTAAATGTAATATACCACATACCGGTGGTTCCTTAAGTTTGTTGTGAGAAGAAGTCTAAAAAGATTTAAGGAGATACAGACAGAAGAATTCTACTTTTTCAATGATGAAACAAAAGAAGAGATTCGGAATGAGTATAGCTTTAACATCCTAGTATCTCAGACCGAACTAAATAGTAACAACTATAATCTTAAGTTAAAAGTCAAAGTCGAGGGTAAAAGGTCTTATAGCGATTGGGAACTAAAGGATGTGTTTAAGGAAATATTACGACGGGATTATAAATCTCTTGGTGGTATGCCAAGATTTAACTTGAATGACCTACTCTCGTTAGAGCACCCATTTACTGAGAACGAATTAAAAAGTTTCGTTGATGAACTTCAAAAAACACTTAATGCATTCAAGAAAGAATTCGGCATCAATGAGGAGACGGCTCGTGAATATATTTCTACCTTCATGAAAACTGCGTTTTGCCATATACAAGACTACATAAACGAATCAGCACAGTTGAGCGTGGAAATAGACCTGGAGGGAAGTCGCGGGTATGGCCCTGTAGACTACATGGTGGTTATCATTAAAATTTTGGTGCTGTTATGTGAAGCAAAAGCGGAAAATATGAACAAGGGAACAGCCCAGGTTCTTGTGCAAATGCACAGTGCAATAGAACAACAATTGGATAAACACAAGCATGGCCAAATGGAACAAGCGATGTTTGGAATAGTTACAACTGGAAAATTATGGCGATTTGTCCGTTGGACCGGATCATTAGAAGAACCGACAGTTCATATTTCTGAAGAGTACACTTGCAATTTTAAGGGTAACATGGAACCTGAGAAGGAAATGTCAAGATATATTGTTCAGAGATTACAAGCCCAAGCTATGGCATTTGGTGTTGATGATAAGGACAGTGGCCATCCTTCAAAACGTCAATGTACTATTTTCATTTTTGCATGTATTTTTTTTTTTTATTAAAGGTAGTTGTAATACATGAAAATAATAAAGATTTCACCCAAATTGGGATTTGATTTTTTTTAACGGTATGCTTTTATGTGTGTGAAGTGGTGTGCAGGGCTGGAAATAGTACTTTAAAAATCCGGATTTTTCTTTTAAAATTTTTAACTTCCGGAAAAAAAAAGAGTTGCC